TCTGGTCCACGAAATTGACCTAAATTTTGACGTGACGCAACATCATCGAAGCGTATAATTTTAAAAATTTGCTAAAAATTTAGGTTTGAATTTCATGCTTATCTGACAACGTTAAATAACCGCTAAAAGATTATATCTTAGCACCATGGGTTAGCTTTTCCAGCCACGCTTATTATTTTGTCTTGCTAGTGCTCACAAAAAGTGTAATTTTGGGGTCAAGTTTTGCTCTTTTCGAGCCAAGTACGTAAGGCCGTCTGCAAGAAAATAAAAATCCAAACAACCTCAAAGATACAGTTTTGAAAAAAGTTAGTAAAAACCTTCTTCCTGACAAAGTTTCAGAAAATCGAATTTTTCTATCCTGCATAGGTATAGGTGACCGTTAGAGCAAGCTGCTCTTAAGAAGGTTCTTAAACTGTGAAACTGGATGTAAAGGAAGAAAGTAAAGAAGATAGCGCTTTTCAAGCAATCTTCGTCACTTTTCAAGCAATCTTTTCCTCGAGAGAAGGCTAACTCCAAACTTTAAGCTCCTCTATACTTGAGTGCATTGCTTTGCAAAACTTCCATGCAGATTGCATTGCTAAGCTTAAGCTATCTATTCGATATTTGCTGCTAAGAAGCAAATTATAAATTTAGATCTTGAATTAAGGACTGCAAGGATTTTGGCTTACTGACATATATCCATAACTGACTGTAATCTACACTGAGTAGCTTACAGTTTAGACTGAAAATCAAAAAAATAAAACTACTCGGGTGACCTTTTCGATTGTTAAGCTTACATTTAACAGTCTAGATGTACAAATTTCTCCTCCCATCTTTGTTTGTTGGCGCAAGTTGGGGAAAATCGATAACCCAAAGGAAAAAGGTGTGTGATTGGAAAGGAATGCAAAACGCTCAGCAGACTCATGCATTTTACTAAGCTATCACTCTACATCTGTGTCAGATGTTCCTAGCTTTTTTGTGCTGTGGTATAAATAACTGTAAAGCTGTTTCTTTTCAACATCATTGACTTTCTGAGTTATGTTTGCTGTCACCAGCCTTGTGCGAAGATAAGCTCCTCCACTGTGAGTGGCATTCGTCAATCGGCCAGTGTACAACATGGCAATACGTCAAAGACAACTGTAAAAAGAGTTGTGGTCTGTGTGGAGGTGAGGGGTAAAAAGGATTTTTACGATAACTGCAGAAATTTTCGCGCGTTCATTGGCTTATTTTCATTGTCAATAAGAGAACAGACACATGAATTTATAATTTATGCGATGCGCCAACGAGAGCGGACAAATTGACAATTTTTTATCGTAAAAAACAAATTGACGTCATTTTTTCATGGGTCTGTCCTGTTACTGACAATGAATTTTGTCATAACATTGTCAAAGTAGTCTGCGGATCCAATCGGCTATCGCCTCGTGGATCCACAGCTACTCTGACAACGTTATGACGAAATTCATGATCAATAACAGGACAGACGCATGGAAAACTCACGTCAATTTGTTAATTATAACTGATAACTATAATGAATTAAGTCCACGTCCTTCGTCTAATGCTCGTACACCAGTCTTGTGGTCAAAGCGAGTAATTGCTAAATTCGTGAGCGGCCCATCTTAGCCATCTCTGTAGCAAAGTCTGGACCACTGGTACTCAGGGAATCATAACAGTCCTTTTCATCCTGGGCTAGTTTGCTTGTAATAAGTATCCCTATTTATGAAGAAACAGATTAACTTTGTCATCGCCCGGAATTAAAATATGGAGAACAGCCATTTAGTTCAGTGGTAGAAACAAGTAATATTAAATTCGGTGACTGATGCTGGGAAAGAGTGACAGACGGACAACACAGCTGCAAGTCGCTGACTATTCCGAAACGTCAAAACGTTCGTACGCAATGAACTGGTAATACATCTCCCGCTCTTTACTGAATACTTAAATAATATTTGATAGACATCTTCTAGATCAATGCATTTTTCCTTATACATATCCGAAATTATTTTAAAATTGACATATTTTAAACTTTAAAGTTACAACAAGCCCGCCAATCACTGAAGGACCACGCCCACCTGTGACAACATCAAGACCTCGCCCACCGTCAGGTAAAGCAGGTTTTGCCAGTTTATATACCGGTAGTAACAATTTTTTTTTTTTTTCAAACAGAAAATTCATTTAACTTCGCCAGGTAGAGCCGCAGTGCAGAACACTATATTTTAGGGCTCATCTACAACGTCAATAACAACACAACAGCGACAAACATAACTAAAACTTTAAAAAGAAAGGACAAAAATGCTGTTTTCCGTATTTGAGATAGAAATAACTTTATTGACGTGGCAATGCCTGGTAGCCTGGGAAAATTGGGGACACAAAATAGATACTGAAAATTCTTCAATATTTTGGAAATCATAGTAATAATATATACAAAAATCAACCGTCTAGATTAAGCGTGAGGTAAGTTGGGCGCATAAAATATCATATGTCCAGGGAATTCTTTCTTGGTTTGAGCGCTCCCTTATAGTCTCTTAGGCTTTGTAAATATTTCGTACACAATATAACTAAAACTAAATTAAAGATCACGTAAACTAAATTATAGAGAAAAAGTGGCGAAGAAAGCGAAAAGAAACCGGAGGAGAGTCCCATATAAAAAGGACTGGGCTGCTCGTCAGAAATTTTGAAAAGAACCCTTAAGAGGTATCGAGATCCTGTTTTGTGGTCGTGACTTGAAATTGATTTCACCCCTAAGAAGTACCAATTCTAAAACAACACATTATCTCCTGCTGTGGACCTGTTGAGACCGAACACCCTAAGAGTTACCAAAACCGCCTTTTTAACCCCTACAAAGTACGACTAGCACCCCCGTCCTTTTCATATGGGACTACCCCCTCCCGGGAAAGAAACTGTGTCATTTGAAGCGAAGCCTTGGCCACTAAATGCGAATACCTGGAGACGATCAGAATGGGTTTTAACTAACAAGCACGTACACGATCAACCCAATTATGCGTTCAATCAGACCTGCTTTCGTGTAATTTGGTTGTTGAACAACTTTTCTTGAGAAGCAGATGAGTAACTTGAGAAATATCAGTTGCTATGATTTCCTAATTCGTATGCTGTTTTCTCTGTACATGTAGAATGGGAGCCCACAGAAAGCGCGGCAAAGACAGTCATGCTCAAGACTTCAGCATCGAAACAATCATCATGCATGAAAGTTATAAAAGGCCAGTTGGTTTAAGCCATGATATCGCGTTACTGAAATTGGGGAAACCGGCCACTCTGAATCGCTATGTGGGACTAGCATGTCTACCAGATGAAGGATCTCTGCCAAATCTACCGATTGATGATTTGAACAAGAAGTGTTGGATTACGGGTAAAGATGACATTTGAACCTCGACATCACATGATACCATCCACCTGATTCTGAATTCTACGTCGCTCACTTCTATTCAGTTAATATGCTACTAAGAATATATCTTCGAAATTTCTTCTGTAGCGTCCAAAAAGATGAAATTGTCTTTCGCTAAACAAAGAGGAACTTTAAGTATATCAAGTCTGCAATGATCCTATTTATGTTCATTTTCCCACCCTACCGACCGAACGACCGAACGACTGACTAACTGATTGACTGACTGACTAACTGACTAACTGACTGACTGACTGACTGATTGAGAACACACTGGGAACACAATCTAGCATAAAATTACAAACAATAAGATCATTTAAGTATCAAGATCAAGCTAAAAATTTAAGCTTTTCTTTCCTGCACATGTTAATCCGCAGGCTGGGGCCGTCTATCATCAGAAGGTCCTTCACCAACTGTCCTCATGCAAGCCTCTGTACCACTGGTATCTAAGCAACGCTGTCAACGCAGTTACCCCGGATTAATCCACGACTCTATGCTTTGTGCTGGCTTGGATCAGGGGGGTGTAGACGCCTGTCAGGGTGATAGTGGGGGTCCCCTGGTCTGTGAATTTGGAGGAAAGTGGTACCTGGAAGGTGCTACTAGCTGGGGGGTTGGATGCGCAGACGCAGGGAAATTTGGTGTTTATGCCAAATTAAGATATCTGGTGAAATGGGTGAATAGAAACATGAAAAGGTTTTAAACCAGTTATCATCGCATGTTTCTGACTGAAACTGTGTAACGTTAAGAAACAAAATAAAACTGGATACTCCGAACGATGAGCTCACGTACTTATTTAGCCAATCTCCTAAACTTTGGTCATCCTCTCCGGAGGCAGACTAATTACTCAAGGCGAGAGGGAGTCAATTTTCTTGTTTTAGTTCCTTTCGCTTAACTAAAGTTACCGTTTCCCGAGTCTCGAAGGATGAATTTAATCCGTGAGCTGGCGGTATTTTACCCCAATGAGTAAACTACCCGGACATGAAACAAGTTACGCAAACTACATTGCCGATTTCCACTGGAACCGGGAACCTGGTTAGTATTTTTTTATATAACCTTGGCTGGCCTGAGATAAAGCACTCCTCGATCGGAGCGGACAAGCACCATCTCCAGAACAAATACACCCCGAAAAATAATGCTTAGCGGATGAAAAGTGACTTACTTGCAGTATAGAATTGTGTTGTGACGCTCTCTATTTTTATGAGAATGAGGACTGATAACTAATAACAAGGGAAAGTACTCTATTTTCTACTTGAAGTTCATTTTCCACTAGTCAGGCTGATTTATCAGCACACTCATTATCTGTTAAACCCATTTTTCACTGGATCATTTTCACAGGTTCCCCGTTCAGATGTTGACACTAGAAGTGGGCCGTACGAGTGTGTCTGTAGATAAATATCTGCGTACTGACGATACAGACTGTATATTGAGCTTGGCGAAAAATAGCTTTCGCACGTGGTTTAACGATTTACTAACGCAGAATCAGTATCAGCTTTAAGTGTATAGATTGCTGGTGTTTTACACCATTAAAAAGATCCTTTCACGATAACACAAATGGCTCAGTTACCCTTGATGAACAACTAATAACTGGTGTATTCGTTATAGTCGTTTCTAGGTTTATTCTGTATACAAAGTTACCAAGTTTTTTCCACAATTTTCATCTCTCTAACCTTCTGAATGACAATCAATAACGTCTTTTCGTGAACGAAATGTTCATGTCTACTTAGCACTGGCGCATAGTTCTATCTTTCCTCATATAATGCGACTTTTTCCTTTTCATAGTTAACACTAAAATGTACATATTTGTCCTAACATTTAGGTAGCTGTGGAAACGTAGATAAACACAGCTTTCCAAAAAGCAGCTGCACTGCAGAGGTGTATCTCTCCATATTAAACATGAACTAAAAGTGAAATCTGTTTGTACTCACACAGCTGCTAAGCTGCAAAGCTGAAATACATCTCATTTCTTTAGCTGCACTTGAAATTTCCGTACTTTGAATACAACAACGCTGCTTGCTTTTTCGTTAGCTTTGTTTCGCGTTAGGAATAAATGCAAATATGACAAAAAATTTTTATTTCACCTAATGACTTTTTTTTTTCACCATGTCTCTAGAATACTTAAAAATATTTCTTCAGTTGCAGAATAATTGTTTTACAATGTCTTAAAAGGTTTGGTCAACTTTTTTCTGCAATCGCAAGGGAGGCCTTGGGTGTTTGTGGAAGCGTAAACATGAAGCTAATTGTCGTTTTTGCAATTTTTGTGGCAGAGATTAACGGTAAGAAGCTACATAAATGTGTAATGGAGAAAATACTCAGTTTATGTCCAGTAAGGACTTTCTTAGTGGCCTTCATAAATGATTGTTTAAAAATTGATTCAAAACAAAAGTTAAAATGATCTTTGGAGGCCTTTTTCCGTGTTGCAAACAGAAGCTTGTCACTTTTTCAAAAGTGAGTAAATTGAGGGAGCGAAATATGTTTCCTCGCTGATAACGAGCATCATTAAAAACCAAACACACTGACTGACATAACACAGAAATTTACATTGCGCTGAAAATCGCCATTGACTTAAAAAATGAGAAAAGAAATCCTACCAATCTCACAGAAACCTACATTAAATAAATAAAAAAAAAAGTTACAGTATTTAGAAAGGAAGCCACACCAACCTTCGCTGGTTTTCATGTGGGTCTTCTATCCTGGTAAAATTGGAATTTGGAGATGTTGGCTTTTGTGGAGGGAGGAAAACAGGAGAACCAGGAAGAAACCTTCAGAGTAAGGCGAGAACCAGCAACAAACTCAACCCACATATGAAACAGGGCCGGAATGGAACTGGAGGGGGGCGAGCGCATCTCACAACTGGGCCATCCCTGTTTCCCTAGATATCCTCCTACAGTTACAAAATAACACTTCAACTGTCAACTAACATTTTTTAACACATGTCTCGCCAACAGCTCTCTGCTACGACAAATTTCCTAACTGTAAAGATTATGTCAACAGACCGGGCAATCTTTGTGAAACAAATTCCTTCATCAAATATAAATGTGAAAAGAGCTGTGGTTCATGTGGAGGTAAGAATGCAATTATCAATTAAAACTACAACTTAGCTCTTCCTCTCAGAAGGTGTCAGTCAGTCTCAGTATTTCAGACTTAGTATTCTTGAGAAAAGGAATGTCTGCATGTACAGGCTTCAAACACTATTTCAGCCAGAGCAAAGAATGATATCAATCAAAATTTTACGGAAGAATCTGTAACCCGTGACAAAAGCGGGAAACGCTGCGCCACTAAATAACGACTTTGATTTGTCATTTACTGAGCAGGTCAGGCCTGTGCCCTACATGCACATACTCTTCTCATCGTGCACATTTGAATATTTCGATTGACGTTATCAAAACGGGTTTAAAAAGAGCACAAGTTGAAATGAGTACTACATCTACTGGCATTTACTTTTCGTATATTTCAGGTCCCAGACCTCCCGTCACGCAAAAGCCACCGGAGCCGCCAAAGCCATCACGACCACCAGTACCACCCCCACCTCCAGGTAAGAGTACTTCCCCTCCCCCCCCCCCCACCAACCTACTAAACAGAAGACTTGCTACGCAAAAATCAGTCCTTCTCCAACTCGTTAGAAGTCTGATATTGATTCTCGTCCAGTCCCCATAAATCCATGAACATCAGTGAAATGTCTTGGATCGATCATTCTTTCTTGAGTTTAAATTTTCGCGCTGAAATACCAACCAATGACATACGTTACAGGGATCACTATCAAGGTTTAAACTTGGTCATCATTTTGGAATATTTCATACTCGATATCAGGATAACATTAAGATAACAAAACAAAACAGAACAGAACAGAAGATTGGATCAGTCCCTATATGAAACAATTTCCCCAACTAAAATTTCTAGAAATCTGAAAAAAAAAATTCCAAAACTACATTCTTTGTTAATGATGCTCTCGCTTTGAAGAGTAGAGTAAGATAACCACTTTGTTTTTAAACGCAGGCTCGTGTGGCGTAAAACCGCAGACCAGAATTGTTGGTGGTACCAAGGCTCGTCCCGGTGATTGGCCCTGGCAAGCAATGTTGAGATCTCCACGAGGTTCGAGTTTCTGTGGCGGAACCTTGATAGCTGACCAGTGGGTCCTTACTGCATCACACTGTGTATATAGAAAGAGACCGCAAGATCTAAGGGTGAGGTAAGTTTACAAGCTTATAGCTATGACTGTAAAGACTCATTTCAAACTCTTAAGTGACTTATTTTTTAAATGATTAATTTTCCAACTTCCACAGAATGGGAGCCCATAAGAAAAGAGGAAATGATCCCACAGCACAAGACTTTGAAATTGAAAAAATTATCATGCATTACAGTTACAAGAAACCATACGGCTTGAGTCACGACATAGCTCTGTTGAAGCTCAGCAGCCCAGCACAACTCAACAGTGCTGTTGGTATCGCTTGCCTGCCAGACACATCAGTGGATCTACCAATTGATGACGAGAGCAAGAAATGCTGGATTACAGGTATTCAGGATGAGATTTCAGGACTAGGGTTTCAGCAGTAAATTTCCGAATAAGAACCTTACCTCATTCGGAAAATGGACGTACAGTGCTGGCTTACAATTTCAATTGGTTCGATGACGGATGTTTTTTCGTTTAAGTCTCAATTAACTGCAGTTCTTACTGTGTCAACCGGGAACTTTCTCGATATTTAAAATTGTATTTTTAATTTATTGTCGTTTTAAGGTTGGGGACGTCTGTCGTCAGGAGGATCTTCACCAAGTGAACTGATGCAGGCTGAAGTACCACTGGTATCTAATGAGCGCTGCTCTAAAAGCTATGGCAGAATTCACGCCTCAATGCTGTGCGCAGGTCATGATGAGGGAGGTGTTGATGCGTGTCAAGGGGATAGTGGGGGTCCTCTGGTGTGCAAATATGGCGGCAAGTGGCACGTCGAAGGCGCCACAAGCTGGGGCAAAGGATGTGCGCGCCCACAGTACTTTGGTGTTTATGCCAAAGTCAGATATATGTTGGATTGGGTTCATGAAAAGATGGCCTCGAACTGAAACAACTATCTCATCACCAGGCAATCCTGTGTCTACGCCATTGTCAAAAGTAAATAAACCTCAACTGATAAATAACATGAATGGTATTTTTTGACTTGAGTTAAATCCATGTAGCGTACCTCAGTGGACCTACAATCTCCATTACGGGCTTTCTGGGACATATTGCTTATATTGTTTAGTTTTGTTAAAAAAAGGGACTGAATTCTAAAACAAGAACCCCAGCTCTCGTGCTCATTTCTTCTATTTTCTGCGAGTTTAAAATGGGCACTACATCAGTAACGCGAACGCAGATTATCGATCGATTCAAATCTCGTTGAAGCATTTACCAAGGCTATTTCTGAAGATCAATTCTACAATGCACATTAAAACAAATGAAAATGAGTCTGGCTGAAGTCAGAAACAAACGTATGCGCTGATCGAAATTGAAGAAGTTTAAAGAGTTTAAAGAGTACATTGATGCATGGAAGTACTTTTTTCCTTATCCCCTGGGATTTTTCTTGGATCGGATGCACGCAGAATTTCAACCGACTGTTTTTGAGCTTTGCACTCAGTTATTGACAAGCATACGGAGAAATATTGATTGATTCTTGAAGTCCTCCCGTTATTGCTATCATGAATGTAGCAATTACATCTTTTCTTTACTAAAAGAAGGGAAAGGTTTTCTTAATAGAAAATCTTAAAACACGTGTAAACCTGCCAGACATCTGAAATAATACAGCTTTAGCCTTTTAGCAGCTACAGTACCAAAACGTCTATTGCAACGCTTCAGTATCATCAGCCATTGCACACATCTAACACAGTAAGAGTAATTTTTATTCACTGTATAAAAACATACCGCTAAGCTACAAGACTGCCCAGAAATATTGTACCAGTTATAAAATTATTCGACACAACGTAATTTACAAGTAAGATCTGTTGCAATTTTAACCCAAGATACTTTCATAAAAGCGGATCCACGAAGTCACTATTGTGGCCGATTATTTTTTTGTTGTGTTGCTTGGAGCTTGTTATGACGATTACTTTACTTTTTTTTTGAACAAGGCCAATACACAACAAATTCTGATACTTTTCGCCTTCTTCTCAACGACGCAAAGTTAAGCTATCTCCATTCCTTCAGAGGAGTTTCTTAGATCTCTGAAACGGAAATCTTTCTGCTTGAAACAAAACTAGATCTAACAGAACAGGATTTATCTTGCAATAAGGACGAAGTGTTTTACAAGAAACGTTCCAGCGAAACATCTCCGGCAAAAGAAGCCTAACAAATTAAGTTATAGAATTAAATTCTGGACGCGAATGAATTGCTTAAACCTTGCTGAATCCAGGGGGAGGTGGTCCACACAGCAAGGTCCATAATGAATACAGAGAGGTTCTTCTGGTGACGTGAGAGGTCGCACCTTCCTGTGAGCCACAGAGAGCCATACGCACTGGTGTCATAAGTATGCATGTTTGCTATCTTTCGATATTCACCACACACAAGCTGTCACGTGATCTCGTTTTCTTGAAGGGAAACTGGCACCCCCGTTTCTCTGTTATTTGCTTTCAGTACTTTCTCCGCGCAGGCTTCAACTTCTTTGTGTCCTACACCTTTTAACTCTTTCAACTGGTCCTGCGAAAAAATAAAAACATAGGGATGGACTCAGAACATTGCTCTAAACTTAACGATTTAGAATGGAAAAAGTTATGAATCAAATAAAGCCTTATTTTGAGCAGAAATGTGCACTCAAATCCGGAATATAAACATATGGCATATAACACTTTCGACCTTCAGGATAACTCCAACATTCAGTGAGACAGCATTATTCTCAACATAACCCGTAACAATGAACTTCACTTACACACAGAAGAGGAAGGAAAGAAATTCGGGATCTAAGTTAAAAAGCAACTCCTGTACTTATCTTCACGTTGCTAATATATGAGCAAAAGATTGTCTCCGTTGCTGTTTGCGCGACATACCTCAACGACTTTGCCACAACACCTCAACAGTGTAAGCAAGCACTCTGCTGTTTTACTTTTCAACTGCTGATAAGCTGAAACGTATGAAAATGAACGAAAACGGCTTTAGACATCGAAATCCTTCCTGTAAATATGAGATGCCAAACAAAAGCTGAAGGGTGAGAGAGCAACACCCGTCTACTTCAACATTCTTGCCTGCCACACACTTACAGTCTGTAAAGCGATAACGAAAACTTCAGGGTCTAAGACTCTGCACCATAACCAAATACATAACAAGATTTTCCGGTAGCAACATGATCCACGGAGGACCCCCGGCGCAGCCTGTTCCTGCCAAAAGTTCACAGGCGCACCGGAAATTAGATGCATAGTAGATTCTTCCACCACAACCGCCCTGTCATGTATGTACGGCTACATTCTCAAACAGGACATTTCTGAGGGAGTCTACCAGCTATTGTAATAATTAAGCGAACAAACCTCCAGTTGTTAGATGAGCAGAAGAGTCTGTCACATCAACAAGCAACTTTAGAAGACACTTGAGGATTGTTGAACTGTGATTAGGAATCCTACAAAACAAATCATTGGTCAGATGGGGTATATTGTGACATGCGGGTAAATCATCTGCCGAGTTCCTACTACGCATGCTTGACAACATTACAGTGGTTATCCAAAGGAGGGCAGCCTCTTGGAGACACTTTAAAGCGTTTTGAAATGACGTCAGGACGGCCAAGATGGTGTTCCAAAACAGTGACGTTTCTCTCCTTTTGGAAATGTCAATGAGATGTTTTCTTATAATGTAATATACAAACATTTCCTATTGTTTGAGAACACCAATATGGCGGTCATGATTACGATCTATTCTGCACAAACCGTGGGCCTATGACGAAAATTTTATACAACATTTGCAAAAAATGTCTCTTCACAAAAAACCTTTTAAAACTAATTTCAATGAAGCTAGGAAATGTTGTAGTAGCAAACGTGTATTATGGCTCATCGATGGACTTTACTCCAGTCACAATAACAAGTTCATAATATACAGCAAGTTCAAAAAAGGGACGGCAAAATACAGCTATAAATTCATCAGGAAATGAGACACTTGAAACTAAGGTTCGTACCTCGGCCATGCTTGTAGCATTGCGGCGTTTAACGAGTCCAAGATGTTCAGTCGCGTCTCTTCATCAGGATAATCACTCACTTCCAAGAACGAGACCAGAACTCTTAAAAGCCGCTAGAAAATAACGCAAAATGTACTAAAGTTTATCAGTAGCCTATCTCTGTTCGCCCTCGCTACAGGCATTTCTCTTTTCAGAAAAACCTCGTGCATGTATTGTCGAAATAACCAATAATAACCGTTCATATTCAAATGTAAAACTGCGACACTGCATCACCCAAACACTCCGCGATTCACAGTGCGGCATCCTCCCTTCTGCTACAGCCCACGTTGACAAGAATCAAAGATCGCTTGCTGGCTCGTCCAAATATTACAAACTGGGCCCTCAACGATGAGAAAAAGGTTGGCGGGTTCCTACATCAAATAGCTAGTGTACCTTAAAGTGACGAAGTATTGTGATGCCCATGTGCTCAATAAAATCTTTCAGATGGCTTGCATACGCCTGAAGGAAAGAAGGTAAAGGTAAAAAAAAATGGCACTTTGACGAAGATCTGGAAGAGGGCAAGAAAAATACAGCTTTTGTGAAAAGAACGTTTGGCTTTTACAAGGACTGTTACATTAAGCGACATGGCCCTTGGTAATGTTTTACCGCCAAAATCGGCTGGTAAATTTACCTAGTCACCACTGGAACATTCCAGGATTTGCCCGACACCCTTCCCCTTAGTACAAGTTTGGATACCTACAAAAATCACCCAGTATCAGGTCAGCATTGCTTTACCACAGGGCTTACTTGAAGATATCAAGTCAACCTCTCCCAGGTTACCCTCACGTTACCGCGCCTGCTTCAATATTTGCCAACAATCACCCAGGAAGATATCCTAGAGTTGCCGCAAGCAAAATTTGCCAAGTTTCAAACAATCATAACTGACCCTTCTCATCGCAATTTTACTTTCAAACTCCATGGAGGAGAGAATAATCTGAAACACGCTGTCGCACTTAGTTGTCTGCAAAAAAAAAGCAACACGTTACAGTGAAAAACAAAAACACAACAATGTTCCCATTCAGAGATTGTACACAACCAATAACCAAACAACGTTTTGATCATCTCCAGAGCCTCCTGTCCCTCATACCAAACACGAGGAGAAGGTGGCTCTAAAGACAAATGATCCTCGGACTAAGACGTTCAGTAGAACCCAGGTATCTATCTCAAAAATATCACTAGTTGATATTTAACTAAGACCGCTCTATCAAAGGGCCCAAAGACCCTTACGACATTTCAAACTGGCTTACGATGAGATTTTTTAGTTTAGTCCGAAACAACGTCAATCAAGTCGCGAGTTTCCAGAGCCATCGTTTCCTTAAGGCCCCAAAGGCTAAGAGGGGAAGCCATCCCTAATGACGAAAATGTCTTATGCTAGCATGGGGAAGCCTGGAATCACACGTCAAAGGGGTCAATACCATCTCTTTTTCAACGAAAAAAAAATCGATTAGTGCTTTTTCAGTAGAAACACACACGAAAATTTAATTGTTGAAACAATGCAAGGCTGTAAATAAAGTGAGCGAAGAAAATAACGTAGAATTTCACCTTCCTTCCAAACTTGGATTTCTGTGGAGAAGGTTCTACAACAGTCAGGATGCTTAGCAAGCATGGATGAAGAACACGGACCAGGAACGGGTCACTAGTGTACACGTGACGTTGGGCAGCCTGGTAAATGGCGTTACAAATAATGCCTCAGTTGATTATAAGCAATGTACACTGCGAACGGTCTCTCTTTTCATAGAAAATGCGTAGGGACTTCGCAGATCACGCTCCCACGTTTACGACTGTTCACTTATCTTGCGCTCTTCTTGCGTTCTTCCCCACGGATTTTCTAGCAAAAGAGAAACTGTTCGCAGTCTATAAGTAATGAGGAAACAATGGTATCATAATTATCACAGGTATTACTTGATTTCGAGAGAGAACAAAAGCTATTCGTAAAGTCAAGTTCTCGCAACAGAGGTAGAACTACAACCCTCTGTGCACTGGTTGGACAGTTTCTGGGAGCTAGGGTACATACATGTAGTTATTATCTGAATTCAAAAATTCATTTTTGCATATGTTAGTTGCAAAATTCAAAACTCTCGTAAGCGACCACCTCCCGAAAGCAACCACCTAGGCTTGACATTTTGGGTGGTCACTTACAGAAGGTTCGACTGTATAAATAAATTACTATACTCTTTTTTCAGAACATTCAATTTTTTTGCACATCCACAAGCCATATCTAAATTAAGTTTACCTCAAAAAGAACATCAGCTCTTCCATACCACTGCAACTCGGCTGAATTCTAAAAAGAATATCAATTACAATAACATCAGAAAAAAGTACTCAAAGATTGTCACTACTAATTAAAGTATAAAGAATTTAGAACTATGTCAAAGCAAATTAAGTTTACTTAAAAATTCAAAATACCATGTTATCAACAACGTGTTTCAAACACTTAAACCCCAACGTTTTGCTCTCCATCTGTTGGAAAGAAGACAAATAAATAAAAAAAAGGAAATTTATGTCAGCTTTTTAATTGTTGTGAGTCTTAAACAACTCACAACAATTCAAAGAGCTTACCATACATTACATATATTAGCATATATTGACAAACAGCACCTCATACAATGGCTAATGGTACATGAACATCTAAATTATTTAGGACACACATTGCAAAAGTGCAACAGTACACCTACAGTGTAACTGCAATACATTAGCAATAATATAAGAGTAAATGTTCAGAATTTAAATTTTCATGGGCACTATGTTTCATCCAATAGTATAATAATTGTAATTCTGTTCAGATTTGGAGGAATACTTCAAGCAATGTGGAGGGTCAGGAGATTATTATTAATAATAATAACAACAACAACAACAACAACAACAACAACAACAATAATAATAATAATAACAAATATTTATACACTGTTATCAAAGGGGTTATTGGTGCCAAACATGTAAAACAGTGGCTAGAGATCAAAACTGTTCAATACAGGTAACTCATAACTATAATTTTAAATAATATATGCAACAAGATAGAAAGCTAACAAAAAAGCATAACTTTATACAGTAGTTCTACAGTTGAACATCAAGAATGCGGTGTACCTCATAATCATCTATGAGAAGTAACAAAGGAGACATCAGTTTAAAAAAGTGTTCTCCAATGTAAGGATGCTGTCAACAACAAAAACAGTAGTTACAGGCAAAAAATAATAAACAGTTTGACTTTTTTTCCATTTACTTCCCTCTCCAAACAAAAACCCTTGCTTTTTTTCACACATACACATGATACAGTGTAAAAAAAATCCAAGTAAGATACCAGAGGTTATATTTGTACATTAAATTGACTAACGAACTTCAACTGAGAAAAACTCCAGGCAAGTATTATGTTAATTGCTGTAAATGACAGGTGCCTTATTACACATACAATATAAATGGATCATTTAACCACTATTGAACATATAAAATCTGCTTTCTTTGAAAACTCTTTATTTGTTTTTAAATTAATACAATTTACCTTAACTTGCATTGTACACCACACTAACACATGACAAGCAAGTGGAGATTTCTTCCAAGTATCTTTTAGAAGCTGTGGTCTTAAATAGTCAAGTACATGTCTGAACAATCCTAGAGGAAACACTCTGTTAAATGTCCGGCTGTCTTCAAATTTGTTTTCTTCCGTCAAGACACCAGATTCTACCTCAACACATCCACAGAGCAGTTCTGGTATTGATGAGCACTGGCAGTGAGTGCATATCAGTGACAGTAATTCTGAGACAAGATCATAGGTATATTAAGCTGATATGTTACGTAATATATCAAACACAAGAGACAGTGTTTCATCAGGATATCCAAACACCTAGAAGAGAGTTTAGTATTTTTGATGAAATTTGAGATGTTTGGATAGTCAATGAAACGCTGTCTCGAGTGTTTGATATATCTTCTCAATCAAAACAAAAACTAAGGAGTAAACAGAGAAGTAAAATCGTCAAAATTTATGCAAATTAAGACTGGGTATCCAAACCTCCTTCACAGTTATTCTTTGTTTTTACTTGATGAATTATTAACAAGTTTGAGAAAAATTTATGAACATTTCAACCAAACCAACAATTGTATGTTTAAATACACAATCATGAAAAAGATGTTAGCCATCATGTAGATTTACAACTCAAGTCATGTACAAGTAAAGATTAAGTCTGCATCAGACCAAATGGCCCATGCAGCTGGAGCTGATCCCGGTTTCTGTAGCATGGAGCAACTAGAAGTATTTTGACTCACCCCTGGATGGACTGCTAGTCCTCCACCCAGGTAAAAAGTGCCTCTCTCCACCCAGGTGTATAAATGGGTACCGGCAAACTTAATGCTGGGGGTAACCCTGCGATGGACTAGCATCCCATCCAGGGGGGAGTAGAAATACTCCTAGTCGCTTCATGCTACAGAAACCGGGATAAGCTCCGGCCTGATGGGCCACTTCGTTCACATGCAGACTTTACCTTTACCTTTTTTTACATTTAATTATTAAATAACTGTTTCTTTTGGGAACAATGTAGAATACTTATCAATTGACAAACAAGTCCATTTAGTCTAGCTTGATTGGTGAGGTGTTAAGATATATGAATAAGAAAACAAGCACTAACCATACGCTGCAGTCTTTGATGTTGTACTTGTCCACAGCTGTGACGTTGTGTGTGCAGCACATAATGTCACCAAACAGCAGCTGACCTTTTTCATGATACACTTCCTACAAGTCTGTGGGACCACAATGAATTCTAAACAAGCTAAATAAAGTGTGTTTCTGAAAATTTCATCTCTAAATACTAATCCTTGAAATTAAAAGTTGCTCTCATGCTATGGAATGTCACAATGATGTCAACCGAGAAAGCACCAAGGTCATAGCTAAGGAGAGAGTGTTATGACTAAGAAGACTTCACGAGGGAATCAGTCTCCTATACTGACTTTTATTTTCTTAATTTCTGAAGGAGGCTGGCCAGTTACAGCTGCCAAAACTCTGATTGTACAATCAGTATTAATCTCATAGGAATAACAAAAAAATGAGAGCAACTTAATAAGTTTTAAACGAAATAAACATTTACATTTCCAAGGGGAATTCTTCTTAGTGAGTTTGTATCGTGCAGTTCCAGAAAATATCCATACTAACCTCACAGAAGAGATTGGAATTTCCTAGGGGTGGGGGATTCTGTACCAAAATTTAAAGAGCTGTAAGAAGCTCAATTGGAATTTCTTGAGGGGGGGTTCTTGGAAAAAACCATGGGGGAGGTATGGGTATTTTCTAGAACTACACATTATATTAATATACTGTTTGGCACTACAACCAAACATTCCAGGAAAATAAAATTTTCTTACTGAATCCAAAGTCACTCCACTGCCTGTTTCCTTTTGACTATCATCACAGAATAATGCGGACAACAAAACTTGACAAATCAACATAACAGCAGAAGATTGTGTTTGATACTTCATCATCTTTTCTCTGTCCCAACCTAAAAATAATACCAGTTATTTGTTGGGTGAATATATATATATCTATATATATTTTAAATATTCAATAATTAATCAACTATTTCTTCTCTAAGGAGCACTGACGGTAAAAGAATTTGTTCTCCAAAAGTATTACATTTGGAAAGCTAATGTTTTGATTAATGCCCTTGCAATTGGTAGAAAAGGCTTACCACTACTGTATAAAGTCACCACTCACAATGAAAACTTAAAGTATTCAAATGACAGCTTGTAATGTAACAACATTGAATCAAAATTAAAAGCTATTTACTAACTTACCCCCTTCACCTGAGATGGTTGGTTCCACGCACTGAACTAACTTCTCAATAATTGCAGCAATTTTCTCCTTGACATGAGAATCATTATCTTGGCCAACATTTGACATCATATAACTTTGCCTGTTCAACCATTCCCTGTACGTCTTATCCAAAAGCAGCTCCAGATTACCCTGGTAATGATATAAGACAAATTTACATGTGCCACAAGAGTCCAATCCTATAAATGTACAGTATGCACCTAAAAACATGTTTTTTTTTACTAGAAGTGAACCAAATTTACAGTGTACTAGCAATTGTGTTGACCAGCCTGGGAGATTTCCTAGAATGTGTATCAAGTACTCTGGTTGGCTTTTACATATAAACTAAACAAGCTGGAATTTATGTAAGACATTTACAGTGTTGTCATTGTTGAATGATCATTGCCTCTGAATTCTGTGGATTTATTTTTGATGTTGATGAAAACTGTTTTATGTTCAGACTGGAAAAACATCTTTGGAGAAGTATGCTGCATTGGGGACTGAGGGGAGTTGGCAACTGGCCATGTTGAGTGACTTGTCAACAGGGAGCAGGGTGTGGAAATATTTAAAGGAATGGTCTCCACACAACAGTAAACAAGGCGCAATAAGGGCACAAAAAAGGCGGATATGGGGTGACTAGACAAGAGAGATGTATACATAGTTTAATAGCAGAATTAGTTAATTTATCCACTTTCAGTTTGTAAAACCTCATGTTAATAGAATTTTAGATGAACTGTATTTATTTATCATGTGTACACTTTGCAAGATGTTTTAATTTAATTCAAGTTAATTTCTTAAGTACAATCCCATAAGCTTTAAGAAGCTTAAAGATAGGTTGTCTGTCTGTCTGTCTGTCTGTCTGTCTGTCTGTCTGTCTGACAACCCAAGTGCATATCATGGGACCCATGAAATGCATACTACAGCATATATTACAAACTATATGGGACATGAGACTAAACGGAAAACAAAATTGAGATACGTACCTTTTTCAGGAGCATTGTTACTTCTCTAAATTTGTCTCCAGGTAAAAACGTCCTCAACATTTGAGAAAACTCGTTTTGAGTCATTTTGTCCGACATGTTTTTATACTGTAAGGCTTGGCCACTAAGGAGCTGAGTTACCCCGTGTTGGGAGGAGTAGGGTTAAATTTGAAAGTCGTCTCAAAAATCCGATTTTCACCACGAAACGTTTACTTGGTAAGATAGGATTAAAAAGAATACCTTATAAATCATTTTAAAGAAAGTATAATGGCATTCTGGTCTATAATGAAATGCAAATAGCACATTTGTGTTTCATCATTCAACACCTCTCCCCTCCGTCAAAATATTGCATTCCGAAAAACATGGCGGTAACGCTGGTGAAAGTCGCAGGCAAGTTGACCATCGGAGGTTTTGCGTTGTATGGTTTATCAGAAGTGCTAAGCTCACAAGATAATGCTATCAAACACATTTCGTTCCTGAACAGTAAAACTCGTGAGAATATTCCCGTTAATCTACCAGAGGTAAGTGTTATTGGCGATTTTCCCCTGTACTAGCTAGTATTGATTAACATATAAGCTTAACATCCCTTCCATTTTTCAAACAAAATTCCAGGAGGTAACTCAGAACTTATGTCAAGTGAGAACATGCTACTGTAAGTATAAGTATAAGCAAAAGTACACCATCTTGTTTGACAGCATCAAGGAAGTATGGAACCGAAAATAAGACAATTATCCATTCTGTGCATGCCTACATGCTTATGCTGGTGCTGTAGGCATTCTCACTCCATTATGCTTATGCTTGTGCTTATGTCGCAGCAAAATCCAGTCTAGCAAGACCTAACCCATTTAATAACTATTTTATCACAACACCTTTATTGATTGTGATGTTATTAGAAAGTTGTGAAAAATTAATGTCGTAGTGAGTGTTCTGTGCTGTACACCCTGTGTTGTGTTCTTGGACGAGACACTTCACTTTCACAGTGCCTCTCCCCGCCCAGGTGTGGGAGCTGGCGAATTAATGATGGGGGTAACTCTGTGATGTACTAGCATCCCATCAAGGGGGCAGTAGAAATACTCCAAGTTGCTATATAATACAGAAACCAGGGATAAGCAGTGGTTTGATAAGCCACTTGGCTTGTATGTAGACTCGACCCGTTTTATTCTCCAGGTAAAGGGGAAGGCTCAATTTCCGCCGCTCTCTCAGGTTCACATGCCTCCCTGAGAAGAGACTGTTTGGGGGGAGGGGGGGGGGGGG